CAACTCTGCTTTTCAAACATCTCTCACCTTTCATTTACCTTACGGAGAGAACAACTATATTGACTATGTCTTTTGTGACATTCCATCCATCCTGAAGCTGGCTTGTGTTGACATAAAATTTAACGAATTGATTGTCATCATTGATGTGGGCTTTATAGCAATGACCTGCTTTCTCCTTATTCTAGCATCTTATGCTTATATCATCACAGCTATTTTGAAGATTAGTAGCAGTGAAGGACGCCAGAGAGCCTTCTCAACTTGCAGTGCCCATCTTACTGTAGTGGTCATATACTACCTGCCTCTTTTTTATCGTTATATGAGGCCAGCTTCTCAGGACTCCTTGGATAGTGTGGTGAGCATGTTCTACACCACAATCACCCCTTTGTTGAACCCAGTGATATACACACTTAGGAACAAGGAGATGAAAACTGCTCTGGTGAAACTCTGGGGTGGGAATCCAGAGTAGACAGAAAGAAGTGTACCTAAGACATTTTTAGGTTTTTAAAAATAGGGTGAATAGACAAATTATGTCATATTTCAGTGTGGAAATTGGACCTATTTTATGGCTCTACTGAAATTTTCTATTGACTGCTCTTCTGTAATTGATAGAGCTGGTAAAAACTGCATAGGAGGCCAAAAGGAGCTGATTAGAAATATGGGGGTGAGAAACTTCTTTCAGATGACCCAGTCTGTTGTACATAATAACTTCTTTCTTAGTGCAAGGGAGGATGACTTGCTCAGAGGTGTAAAGAAGTGGAATCATAAGTTGGACCTATGGTCCTCCTCACCGCATATGGTTTCAAGAAAAAGATCGAAAAGATGCTCAGGAGAGAATCTAAGCACTGCTGAAGGAAGCCTGTGGTTTGCAGAACACACATTCCCAACAGGTGTTGACTAGTCCCACTCCTAGAGAAATCCTGACCCAACCAGAAGTTGATTACACATATACATATACATATACAATGTCTTTATTCAGCCAGCCTGGGAAAAACCACTTATTTGTATCTTTTAATACCTATTTATTGAGATTGAAGCCCCTCCCCCACTTCCAGATGACTCTAGGCTAAACTAAGCAACCATACAAGATTCAACAATATGCTTTTTTATAGTGGATAAAAATGCAATAGGGAATAAATAGCATTCTTTATTATTTTTATTCATTGAAACTGTTTTCCATTTTCAATTTCTTGTCTTAAAAATAAAGCTCAGATGATTCAATTACAGCGGCAATAGGTGCACCATTGGAAGATCTCAAGAACCAGGCTGGCAACAGATCATCCTGGGGAAAATCTATTTGATCACCTAGGCTCAATGTTGACTTAATGGCAGATATTCAACATTATCATATGGCAATGTAGAGGATCACCCACAAGAAAACTATACAATGTTTCTTGACATTAAAATCAGAGGAAAAAATGGGAAACAATGCATGCCTGGAGGTATAAAGGCAAAACATTTCTAAATATTCCCTTAGCCCAGATTTCTAGCACGGGGAGGCTTGTTCAGATATCAAGAAAGATGTAAGCTGCGGAGATCATTGCATAAATCACAAAGAAGACAGATCCTTACCACTCTTGTTATTGTTTTGTCCAACTATAGATGTATGCAATATCCATTGCCCTTCTTCTTTTGTTCCCCCTAGAAACATAACCATCAATAAACAGCAGGAAGTCTTCCAAATCAAAATTAAAGTTCAATCATAGAATCAAATGATAGATAATTTGTAGCCCAAAAGGAAGTCCTATGGCACACGGCCCAATCCTACACACTAGAAGGCTATTTTTGGTATTACATACCCAGGAATTAACTGAATCCCTCCATTTCTTCCTAAAAACACACATATGTATTCAAAAAATATGAAATAATAAGGCTTGTTTCATCAGTATGACCTATGATGTTCCATGACTTGAGGAGTAAAATTCTCTGTCAGAGATGTGTAAAAACAGATCAGGAAAGAGATAACTAAAATCATAGAATTTAAGGTAAGGACAACATTATGATTGATCGAGGGGAAAGCAGAAATTCAGCCTCTGCATTTTGGAGGAGGAAAAAGATAATGCAAATGGTAAGTCAGAAAAATGACTTTGGCAGTTGGGTCTGGGGTAAAAGAATTCTTCTGAATTAGTTCCCATTGGAAACAATGGGATCTTAACTCGTAGCTAATTGATCTCTTTGATTATTATCTGGGTGAACTTTCAAACTTACCTGTTGTATAAAAATAAGTGTTCCCTAGTGGACTTTCTGGTAATCGTAATTGCCTTTAAAATCAGCAATATTTTAAACAAACATTCACTAGGGAATAAGGGCAGAGAGTTCACTGAAGATGCGATATTTTAAAAAGAAGTTGAGTGAGATGAGTCTAAATACTCCTACCTGGAGATACAAATGTGTGACTCTGCCTAATTCTTCATTTCACACTGAGAGTTCATCTCAAGCAAGAGTCCATCACATCCTCAGAAGGGAACTCCAAGGGCCTCTAGATGTGAAAGGGAGAGAAAACCTAATCCCAGTTAAGAAGGAATCAACCAGACTTGGAATATCATACAAATTTACAACAGATAAGCTTAAATTAGCTAATATTTCACAACACCTGACTACCTTTCTGGAACTGCAACACCTTCTTTTGGTATTCATGCAACCATTTATGCCAGCCTTCACTTTAGAAAGAAGTCTTAAGATCTCCCCTTGCCTTCTCAATCCAGTTGAAGATATCCTGGAGACAACTGAAATAACATTGCAATCTCTGAAAAGAAAGATCATCTGCTCTCCATAAATTTTCCAAGAGAAACTGAATGCCATGCTATAAAGCTAAAAATCAGAAAGTAAATAATTAAAATATCCATCAATAGCTTCTGTCTACTCTTCCTGCAACACCATTAGCAATTCATGGCAGACCTACCAACGTTGTCCTTTTGCCAATTGCAATCCATTTTACACAAGCAACCATAGATCAGAGGGAATTCAATGGCTTTTTCCCCAACATGTTCACAGTGTTGGAATTGGTAACTCAAGAAGCAAATTATGCCCCCCTCAAAAAAACACATTGAATGCAATGTTCTTTTTAGTATTGTGTTATGATTGATGATTGATAATTTATTGTTATGATTTATGATTGTTATGACTGTTATTTCTTATTCATATCTCCTGCAGACTATATCCAGTTGAAAAAGGCAATATTATGCTAAGGCATGATACAGATGTCAGGTTCTCTGAGGTTTCCCACCTAGTCATTTGGGTGGAGACACTTCTTGGACTTGTGTATATTCAGGAATGCTAGTTAGGACTCGCTTAATAACAATTCCACCATAAGATACTTACCCCGTAGTTTCCTTTTGTTTAGGGAATTAAGAGACTGTTCACGATTGTGATAAATATATGATAGATAAATATGAAATTTTTAAAAAGTGGTAGCTCTTTCTCCACTATATTAAATATTTATTTATTTACCTAATGATTTCTTTTTCATTTATCTTATACAGCTGCTGCCTTGGCATATGACAGACTGGGGACGACGTGATAGCGATTGCTATGCCTGAAGAAAAGGTGTACAGCAATGCACAAAATCTCTTTCTCAGGAAGTAAATTCAAGTCCTGCAAAATGCACAGACGCGATCTGTGACTTCAACCCAATAGGAGCTAACTCCAAGCAAAGATCCTCTTAGAATAGCTCATTGCTCAAGGGACCTGGGGTACATATCAAAATAACAGATAGATGGAGTGTCCAAATCAAACCACCCCAAATGAGTTTATCCTGTCTGGGTTTCCATATCCACGAGAATTCAAGCTCCCCTTCCTTCTCTTCTTCTCAATCATGTTTACATTCACCCTTTCTGGAAATTGTCTGATCATCCTGGTGGTGATCTCTGACCTTCAATTGCACAAGC